CAGTGGAGACATTATTTCTCCCAAAGAACTATAACCACACATTCTCAGCATAAATATATGATTGAACTAATATCAATATACATCACATCTTATCAATTACATCATAAAACAAATTAGCAAGTATCCAAACATTACACTACACAGCTCAAAAGGCATATATTAATGTCTGTTCAATTGATTACCAGAAGCTCACTTTTTTAAAAAGAGAAATTGGGAAGAAAGGGAAAATAATCACACTTTAAACAAAAATAATAGCGGTAAGCCCTAGTCAGTGTGGCTCAGTTGATTGAGCGTCGTCCCACAAACCGTTTGATGCCTGGTCAGGACACATGCCTAGGTTGTGGGTTCGGTCCCCGGTCGGGGCGGGTACTGAAGGCAACCGGCTGATGTTTCCTCGCACATCGATGTTTCTCTCCATCTTTTTTCTCCCTCCCTTCTCTCTAAAAACAAATAAAAATATCTTTAAAAAATAATAGTGGTAAGCAACTTCCAAGGTATAAAAACATTACAAGATGTTAAAAAATTTCATGATTAAATCTTGTTTTAACTGCAGTAACAAAGCATCACTACCTTCTAAATTTATGTACTAAAGGGTGTATTCTACATGTTCTGCACAAGACAAAGGCAGCATTTCATTTAGAATATTAATAGTCTCTCTCATTCTTTCCGAGGCCCTTCCTGTTCAGTTATACTCCACATGCAAACATTCAGGTAACTGTAAAGTTTTTTTTTTTTTTTTTTTGTCTGAAGTCATTAAGGACAGGTGCTTCTGTAAATGTAGATTTTCTTTTTTCTTTCATAAAACAGATTTTCAAAATGCAGGTTTTCTATAACAGCACAAAATGAGATTTCTAGAAAGACAAAAATAATCACTGTAAGACTTGGTTAAAATCCAACACAAATGAATGCTTGCATCAATGTAATTATACTGGTACAAACATGGGGCGTTTCACATAAACACGCAGACCGATAACCATAAGGCCCTTCTTTCCGTGCTTGAAATGACTGAAGGGAGCAACCACAGGAAATCTAGTGTGTTCATCATTCCTGGGACTTTAATTCTATATATGATACTAAAAATACACAAGCATTGGGCTGGGTATTTTGGTACTTAATCTCTCTAAATTTCTTTTTCTTTTTAAAAAGATTTTATTTAGTTAGTTCTAGAGAGAGGGAAGGGAGAGAGAAAGAGAGGGAGAGAAACATCAATGTGTGGTTGCCTCTTGTGCACCCCCTACTGGGGACCTGGCCTGCAACTCAGGCATGTGCCCTGACTGGGGATTGAACCAGTGACCATTTGGTTGGCAGACCAGTGCTCAATCTGCTGAGCCATAACCCACCAGTGCTAAATTTCTTATGTTAATCTTATGTTAATAAGATTCTGGCATGGGTTTAAAGGAGACCTAGCTTAAGAGTGCATGATTTCAGGAGAGGCCCATGATACTAATGAGAAGCATATTTTAATGCTGAACAGCAACAATCTTGTGCTAAGTGTCCAAATAGAGTCAGGATATGGGGCTCATGGGGGTTACCTTAACAAGTCTGTCTGCCACAAAGGTCCCACATGTTTCTTCTTAAGTTTCTGCTGCTTATGTATTCTGTCCCTTTGCATTGTTAATTTGAATTAGATCTCTTCTTTCATTCTATTTTGACTCATTATTGGTTTGTAAAAAACTGTGGCGTAGTGTGGTTTTAAATCCTGCATCCACTGTTTGCCACTGAACAATTTTTTTTCCTCTTTAAGCCTCAGCTAACTCATCTGTTAATTGAGTGGCGTAACAGAACCTCTCTCTTTATGTTATTGTGAGAATTAAACGAGATGATGTGCATGAAGCTCTTGGCAGAGGATTAGAACATAGTGGTCATTAGATGATAACATTAATAATTATTATTAGAAATATGTATGCCCTGACCAGGTAGTTTAGCCAGTTGGAGCGCGGTCCCAATGCACCAGGGTTGTGGGTTAGATCCGCATCAGGGCACGTGCAGGAACCAACCAATGGATGTGTCAGTGGGTGGAGCAACAGATCGGTATTTCTCTCTCTTTCTCTAAAATCAGGAAGTGAAAAATGTATTCATAACTAGCTACCCTTCTAAAATCTTACTATTTCTAATAGTTTCTCATTTAATACATTTTAGTTTTCCAATATGCAATTATTTCATCTATAAAAAATTATACTTGTTATTCCCTTTGTTTTATATACCTTTTGTATTTTATAAGCTAATTTTACTGCATTGATTGTGCCTTCATGACGATATTAAGTAATCACAGTGGGCATTCTTATCTTGTTCCTGACAATAATGGAACAAGAAGCATAATTTTTTACGGATGAAATAATTGCATCCTGAAAAACGAAAATGTATTAAATGAGAAACTACTGGGCCAGAGGCAGGGACTTCTGTCTACATAGGTCAGCTCCCGTCTGGCCCTGCGAGTACATTTCCCCTTTCCACCAAAGGCTGAAGAGTATGTTTCCCAGGCTGAAGCTGAAACACCGAAGACGTCTTCCAGGAGCAGAATGGGGCAGCCCAGTGCAGGGCAGAGCAGGCAGGGGCCTGGTCCCAAGGCCACCAAACCATAGTCCTGTTTTCACAGCCTGCTGGGTCATAGTCGAGCTATCTGCAGCAAATAAAATGCCTTCTTCATCATACCCCAGATTAGGAACTGCAGTCGGTGTTCAATTAATGTCGACTGACCTTGGGTGACCCGTCATTACTCCTAAGTACTTATTCTTGTCTCCCTGTAAAGGTGTTTTGTAAATGCGGCTGGAACTGTTTACCTTTGAAACACGGATCTGGGACTTTGTTGAAAGGAGTGTGGATTGCATAGGCCTTCAACGACCTCCTCACTTTTTCCTTTTTCTGTTTCAGAGGTCCGCTTATAACATTTGTGTTTTTTTAGAAAGTTATCTCTTTCATCTAGGTATTCAAGATCTAGGCTTCTCTCGTGTATCACTTTCTTCTCTTTGCGTTCTTCTTCTCCCCTTTCTTCTCAGTTCAGGGTCCCAGGATAAGCCAATCACTATCTCTGCTTCCCAGTTCCTGGGGGCAGGGAAATCTGGTTCATTGACCCAGTCCAGACGTTCATCCTTGGTCGGGTCGGCCGTGACCAGGGCAGTATCGTGTAATACCCACAAGGCTTGTCGGTGTAATCTTTGGGATTCAGGAGAAAAGTCATTTTTTTTCTTTTTTTTGTTTTTGTTTTATTTTAATCATTGTTCAAGAAAAGTCTTAAAGAAGGGAGGTTAAAAACCAGCGGCTCTCCCCGAAGTTGTCTACTCAGTGCTTAGATTTAGTAATGATTCGATTTTAGGTTTTTTCCTACTTCATCACTTTGTACTTGCGTTGTAACCAAGTTGTTTCTACTTTTCTTAGATTGATTCTGTTGTCCTTTCTCAAACTTATTACTTGACTGATCCATTTTTTAAAAGACTTTGTTTATTTATTTTTAGAGAGGGAAGGGAAGGAGAAAGAGAGAGAAACATCAATGTGCGGTTGCTGGGGGTCATTGCCTGCAACCCAGGCATGTGCCCTGACTGGGAATCGAACCTGCAACACTTTGGTTCGCAGCCCGCGCTCAATCCACTGAGCTACGCCAGCCAGGGCCTGATCCATTTTTTTTGTGATTAGACATTTGTATTTAAAGTTTCCAGATGTCCTCCTCATATCATTTTAGCATATTCCATAGTTGCGATGTAGTGTCTTCATTATCTTTATATTCTTGCTCTGCTCTTGTCCTTGATTCAACAGTTGCTTTGGAAAGTTTTTTGTTTTTGGTTTTGAATTTCCATGTTGTTGAGGGAGGGAGTTTTTAGTGGGTAACTGATTAACTGTTAAGTATATGGTCTGAAAAATTCTACTTTATTACAGTTTTCTTTGTGTCCAAATATGTAGCCACTTTTGTAAATGTTCTAAGAACTCTTTCACAGAATATGAATTCTATCATTTAATTGCTCTTATATATTTTTGAGACTCGATCTGTTAAGGACTAAGGTGTTAAAATGTTAGAGGTTAGATGTAAGAATGTTAGAATCTATGGCTATTTTTATATTTTGAATCCTTCTCTTATAACCTGCAGTTGTTTGCTTTGTGTATTTTAGTGCTGTTATTTAGTAGATAAAGTTCATGACCACTACGATGGTTTTGTGGATCATGCATTCGATAATTATAAGTGATCCTTCTTGTCCTATTGTAACAGGGTGCAGCCAAGAGGGGAGCCCCAAGTAGGGATCTGTAATAGGGTCCAGAAGAGCTTGGAGATGATTGGCTCCACACCACAGGGCCACACCGGCCCAGACTGCAGGCAGCTGTGGCCAACTGTGAGAGGAGCTGGAAATGGGGCTGCAGAGGAACATTAGCGCTGGGATTTAAACGGAGGCACAGCAGCCATTGGGGGTCTCTCTTTTTGGGACCACGCGGCTGTTTAGGACCACGCGGCTTTGGTGTCTTGGTTGGGACCATGAGGCTTGGGTGAGAGTCAGGACCACGAGGCTTTGGAAGTGCTCCCTTTTGCCACGTGGAGGGTGCTGGGAGGACTGTGTGCATTTGTGGGGAACTTTAGTTTGTGTTATTTCAAATGAATAATAATTTCCTTTCCTTTTCACTGATCTCTGGTATTAAGAGACATCTTTCCTCAGGCGGCGGGCAAAACGAACCCAGTAGGTGGGGAGGAACCGCCTGGAGACTGTAACACTATTTAATACTTTTTTTTCTGCCTTGAATTCAACTGAGCTCACATTAATATTACCAACTTTACTCATTTTTTTCCCCTTAGAATGTTTTTGCCTGTTATTTTAGTTGTGATTTTTCTGAGTCTCTTTGTTGCAATTTGATTTTTTCAGTTTATCAGAAATCAATTTGGATAAACGGTATAAAGTATACAGGTAACTTACATTTCCCCCTGAAGTTACATTTCCTTTATATATTACACAATCAACTCATTTAATACCCAATCAGGAAAAACCTATTTTAACGGAATTTGCTGTTTTGTGCCCCAACAGCTCTAGATTCCTGTGGCTCTTCAAGATGACCGTCTTCCTCTTAGGAGCTGGCTTGGTTTTGTTTATGCACAGAGGGGTGGACCTTCACGAAAAGTTCAGCTTCCACCCAGAGCTCCCTCGTCCTGCTCAGGCTGTCCACCTGCCGAAGCTTCTACCTGAGAAACATCTCAGGGACCTCTTTACCTACGATGGAATCTGGTGAGATATCACCTGTCCTCTCTTTTCCGCCTTGGTCTGGCGTCTCCCTCGCTCCTCCTGTGGTTTGCTCTGCCCTTTTGTACGCATGCGACAGATGGTTCTCTACCTTCCTGAACCAGCGTTGGCTGCTGAAATGATTCCCAACTGTGGGACCAGGGAAGGGCTTGGTCTCCAGGGCACAGTCTCTGTTCTCTGCAACACTCTGCAAAGTCCCTTCAAACCTTGGGTTTAACTGCCGGCTTGTTGACCCTCCAGCCCACTCTTCTGGTGGGGCTGACATGCCACTGGCATTCCTGTGACTCAAGTTTAAGGAAGTCTGGTGCAGGGGATAGTTCGAGAGAGGGGGCCTTCTCCCAGTGTCCCTCCTCTCTGCTCCCTGTGTCTCTGTCAGGGACCACTGTGAGATTCCAGGGTCTCAGCCCAACTAGGGCAGCGCCTCTGGGGCAGGAGATTCTCAGAATGACACCCTGGGTGAGGCCTCAGGCTCCCTCTCACCCACCAACCCACCCGCCCAGTGATGGTCCGTTCTCTTGCTCGTTTTAGGCTGTTCCCGAAAAACCAGTGCCAGTGTGAAACCAAACACCGGGGCTACCGCTTTCAGGATGGCTACAGCCGGACAGACCTCCCTGCAGTGAAGGCGAGGAGACAGGCTGAATTTGAACACTTTCAGAGGAGGTATGGTGGGCTGGGAGGGCTCTGGGGTCCCGAGGAAGAGCCAAAGCTCTCTCTGCTTTGTCCTGAGAGCGTGGGTTCGAAGAGAGAAGGAAGGAGCTCCCCTCCTGCAGGGTCCCTGGGAGGAACGATCGGGAACAAACCAATGACAGAGAACTGAGGAAATAGCCCTTAAATGAAGCTTTCTAAACTTCGCCTGTATAAAACATTTCATGATGATATAGGGGCAAAGGAACGGCGGTGGCTGCGAGTGTGCGTGTGGCGCTGCGGCACAGCCTCCCCAGCACACAGGCTCTCTGAGCCGGTAGCTTTGGGGTCTCACCAGGTTGCACTGTCTTGTTCATTTACACTCAGAACACACGGTCTCCCTGCTGTGCGCAAGGTGCAGGATTATTGACTGAAAAGAGCAGAAATTGATTCTGTCAGGCTTCTGTCAAAAGGGAATTTGTGGGAAGGATGTTGGGAACTCACCAAATCCGTAGGTAGTAGGATGACCAGGCTGTGAAATTAAGATACAACAGGGTGCATAAGGGCTGGGCAAGCCCTTTAATTAATTAATTGATTAATTAACAATGATTTATGAGCTATCGTAGAAGGTGTGCTATGATAAAAAAATAATAGCACTGTGACGAAGGACTTGAACTTTGAAACAAGCTGGATGGCAAGTTACTTAACCTCGTAGGACGTCAGGACCTTGTAAGAAAAACTGTAATAGGGATGCCTCCTTCAGAGGTTTATTGTAAGTGAATGGTATCAACATGCAAAGAATTAGAAACTGAAAAAGGTCCTGACAACGTAGAGGCACAGCAAAAATACTACCTACTCTTAGTGTTGTGGTTTATTATTAATATCATCATCTTATAGTTGTTCACGGGCAATACACAGCACAGGAGGAGATACACAAATCACCTCTGTATTAGGTGGTTGGGAGTGCTAGTTGGAGACATAAATTAAAATGCTGTGGTAGGATGCCATCTGATATCACAGAATTTCATGGGATCACGAAGGAAGGCGACTTGGAACTCTGGCTTGTTTATCAAGCAGGCGTCTCCCCGGGTTCCCCGTGAAAAAGCATTGCAGAAGGAAGAGTCGCTGCAGAGCCCAGAGCCAGCGAGGGCCCTTCGAGCCCGTGGCCCGACAACAGAGGGGCCCTGGAGCCCAGTAAGCCAGGGGGAGGCAGGGCGTGTCAGCCCGCAGGCGGCCAGCCCGGAGGGCCGGTGTAAGCCAGGAAGAGGAGTGTGCCTGTTGTTTTCTGGGTAGTACAAAGAATTCAACACTTTAGAAGGCTGACAGGTTATCTGAGACACGTTTGTGAAGCCTCACGCTGGCCTCTGCGGAGAGGAAGCCGCAGTGGAGGCGAGGGCATGCAGGGAAGCTGCGGTGTCGTGGGGCGGAAGGTGCGCGCTCGTTCGGCTGGAGGAGCTGTTGGCCGGGCCCGCTTGTGGGACAGTCCCCGGTGGGGGAACTGAGCCTCATTGGTGAGTCACGGAAGAGGAGGAGCGAACTGGGCTCTGTCCAGGTTTGATCTGGGGAATCAGCCACTAACCCCTCCAACTGCAAACACATGGACCACTCTCCCCAGAAGAAAGATGACAGCGGCAGCAGGAAGGAGTACTGAAGTCAGAGAGCCCGTGGAATGCGCAGGCGATTCCGGCAGGGATTCGAACCCTGGCCCCGTCCAGCTGTGTGCGGAGCGGCAGGGTTCAGTAGTGAGCAGTGCGGCCAAGTGGGGCAGACGGGCTGCGTTCAGGTCCGGCACCCTCCGCGTACCGGCTAGGGGACCCTGGGCAAGCGGCTGAACCTCCTCTGTGATTGACGATAATAATAGTCCCTAGAATTTTTGTGAGCAAGAGTTGATGCGTGGAAGGGCTTAAAACTGTACCAGGTTTGTAGCCCCAATGAGATGATACAGTGGGATAGTAGAGATGATAAGCAAAGTATCCATGAGTCCATGAGAAAACCTCTCACGCCAAGCAGAACCTGGGCTCCCTAACCCTCTCTGTCCACCTCCCGTCGGGACGGTCCCCACTGCTGGAGTCTCTGAGAGGTCGCTGGTGGGACTTGAGGCGCCTAGCACAGAGTAGGGTTCAACAAACATCTACGAAATAAATAGGTGGTTGGGGGGCAACCCTGGGGCACGTTTGTGTAGGATGATGGCTCTGTTTGTCCTGGGCAGTGAGGGGACCGCTGAGAGGAAGAAGGCACAGCGGTGTCAAGCAGGGAACACCTCAGCTGTGCCAGGTGCCAGACGTGCATGGTGGGGAGGGAGGGCAGGGGATGGGAGAGGTGAGACAGGGAGGCGTGGGTGTGTGGGGTGGAGTGCGGTCTGCAGAGAGCCGGGGAGCAGGAATTATAACAAGGCCGTGACTCCAACCAGGGAAGGAGCTGGCCTTGTCTTTCACTGCCCCTCCCTCACCTGTGGACACGCCCATCTCTCTTGAAATGATACCTGACAATTCAGGTATGAGCAACAGCAACGGAAAACAGAGCCCAATATAAAAATCAGTGTGAGCCAGGCCTCGTGACAGCAGGGAAGCAGCTGGGCAGAGAGACACCCACTTCCTACCAGTGCCTCAGATCTCTCCATCGGCTGATGGAAAATCACTGAACATCCACCCTGAGCGAGACACTGAATTAGGCACAAAGAGAAATCTGATCTAGATCCTGCTCTCAACAAGCTTGCGGCACAATGGAGAAGATACAATCAGTGGCCCTCCTCCAGAGTCGTGTTCATTCCCTCCACAGCCACCGCGCGCCGTCATAATCACAGAGTGGCTGAACCCAGCACTGAGTGAGTGCGGGCCGTCTGTGGCCCTGCACTGCAGCCAGCAAACTGTGGAACTCAAGAGTTGAAGTCAAAGCTCAAGATTTGAATAGCGGTGAGAAGGAGTAACGTGGTACAACATAGAAGGGAGAATCACTTCCAGCTCTGGGAATGAAAAAGGAACAGTCAAGAAGATGGCGATATTCAGCCCTGGCTGGTGTGGCCCCGTGGATTGAGTACCAGCCTGCACACTGAAAGGTCGCTGGTTCAATTCCCGGTCAGGATACATGTCTGGGTTGCGGGCTAAGTCCCCGGTGGAGGGTGCCTGAGAGGCAGACACACACTGATGTTTCTTTCCTTCTCTTTCTCCCTCCCTTCCCCTCTCTATAAAATAAAATCTTTCAAAAAATAGTGACATTCGGAGCTGGCCTCACCTGTGCTACCAAGCAAGTTCCTAGTGTTCTGTGTCAGTGCCTGGGGCTTTATTTTCTTTTTTGCCCGTGTTGGACACAGGGCCTGGCAGTCAGGAAGGGAATGAATAATGGGTCACGAAGTGATGTGTGACTTCAGGCAAGGGCCTGGGTGTGGCTGGTTTCTGGAAGGAGGACAACCGGTTTGGAGGAAAGTGTTTCAGGCATTAAAAAGAATCAAGTAGATCTAGACACACCAATGGGGAAGAAGCTCGATCATTTATTATGACAAAAAAGCAAGGTACAGAAGGTTTGTACAGGGTACTACTATGTGTGGGTTTTTTTTTTAATTTTTAAAGATTTTGTTTATTTATTTTTAGAGAGGGAAGGGAAGGAGAAAGAGAGAGAAACATCAATGTGCGGTTGCTGGGGGTCATGGCCTGCAACCCAGGCATGTGCCCTGACTGGGAATCGAACCTGCGACACTTTCATTCGCAGCCTGTGCTCAATCCACTGAGCTGCGCCAGCCAGGGCTACTACTATGTGTGTTTTTAAAAGTAAGGGGAGTATTCGTGTGTGAGAGTCTGTTTATACATGCTAGGGGGGAGGTACGAACAGTGGTGGTGAACGTTTAACAATGGGTTTTTGAAGCTTTTGATGGCTGCTTGCCGTGTTTGCCAGTTTCCGTGGTTTAGTCGCCACGCCCTGGTAGGTTTCCAGCCACGGACCCGATGTCGCTGAGTGCACAGCTGGGAAGGCATCCGCAGCAGGTCGCCGTCCTGTAATATCTACTCTGCACAAACTCCCCGACAGATGGTAATCACCTCAAGAGCAGGGATCGTGAAATAATTCAGAAGTGATGTGCTCTGAGTGTTTATTACCTTTTTGGGCATTACATTATATTTCATCTCAAGTGTATATAGTTTAAATTTTATTAATGGCTGTATTTAACAACTGGTGTACAAAACTCCTCAGAATTCAACTACTATTGGCTTTCCCTCGCCAGGACAAGCCAGCCTCAGGGTTGGGCCCCCGTGGCCTGGTTATTTTGTTTCTCTTTTGCTGGTCGTGATTTTCATTTTTATTGTTGATGCCATTACAGACGTTCCCCTTTACCCACCTCCACCCAGCCCGTGATTTTTGTTTTGTTTTTTTTTAAGCGCTTTGTTGTAGACTGCCTCATTTCCCTTGTGGAATTAGCGGCTGGGAGTAAGGAGGGGGAATGGAGGGGAAAGGGAGACAATCTGCTTTCCAGTTCCCCCTGTTGGCAGCACCAGGCTCTGAGCGGAGGCGCTACTTCAGGAATGAACCTGGGCCGCCGGGTGTCAGGGCAGCCAATAACGCTCCGTTCCCATGCAGGGAAGGGCTGCCACGCCCACCGCCGCTGCTGGCTCCGCCCAACCTCCCCTTCGGGTACCCGGTCCACGGGGTGGAGGTGATGCCTCTGCATACTGTTCCTATCCCAGGTAGGTACATCCCCATCTGAGAGAACCGAACCACTTTCTTGCTCCTTAAGCAAAAGAAAGTAACAGAAGGGACAGTCATACATTGAGTACCTGCTGTGTCCCAGGCACAAGGCAAGAAGTTTGACGTGATTTCATTTAATGTTAATGTCACTCTTTCCACCATGGGAGATCACCCTTAGTAGCTGTAACCTCCCGGGGGCTATGAGGTAGCACAGAAGGGGACAGATATCCGTGTGCCCCAGGGAATCTTAGGACAAAAACGGCTTTTTGGTGTCCTACAGCATCCTGGGAGCAGGCAAAGCATGAGCTCATCCCCGGGGAGTGGAATATTTATATTGATCAAAACCCTTAGGCCTGTGTCCTGACTGGTGTGGCTCAGTGGGCTGGGAGTCCCGCGGATTGAGAGGGACGCCGGTTCAATTCCCGTCAGGGCATCACATCTGAGGGAGGCAGTGTCCGTGCTGGGCCTGGCTCTCTGGGGACCCCGCTGCACACACAGGGACCCTGACAGCCCCATCCTGTGGGGAGATCACCTAGGGGGGCTCTGGCGGAGACACAAGCACCACTGTCTTCTAGAAATGATGCATTTATTTGGTGGTTAAACAATTATAAATCTTCCTGTCCTGAGCAGGGACTTGCTCGGGGCGGGGGTTGGGGGGTTAGGGTTAGGAGTTGGGGGGGCATTTTACTCACTCTCTAGTTCAGCATCACAGCTTTGTGAGGTGAGCATTATCTTGCCAGTTTCACAGATGAGTTCAGAAAGTTACCTGTGGGCACTAGGGAAAATATGTTTGAGTTAGAACTGGAACTAGTCATATTATAAGAAAAGAAGTACATGCTAAAGTAGATACATTTGGGGTTGGTAGTGTTTTTGAGTAATCGTTTAAAATGATGTGATGCTTTGGATGACTCATTTTTTATTGTGGTAAAGTATACATGACCAACTTTACCATTTTAACTATTTTTAAGTGTACAGTTCCGTTACATTGAGCACATTCACATTGTTCTGCAGTTATCACCACCGTCCAGCTCTAGAATTTTTTCATCTTCCCAACTGGGACTCTGTACCTTTTTTTTTTTTTTAAAGATTTTATTTATTTATTTTTAGAGAGGGAAGGGAGGGAGAAAGAGAGAGAGAGAGAAACATCAATGTGTGGTTGCTGGGGGTCATGGCCTGCAACCCAGGCATGTACCCTGACTGGGAATTGAACCTGTGATGCTTTGGTTGGCAGCCCGAGCTCAATCCACTGAGCTACGCCAGCCAGGGCGGGACTCTGTACCTTTAACATGAACTCCCCTCTTCCCCTGCCCCTGGCAACCACCATCTACTTTCTTTTAAAAATAATTTTTGCAGATATTATTTATTTATTTTTAGAGAGAGGGGAGGGAGGGAGAAAAGCACCAATGTGTGAGAGATACTGCATTGACCAACTGCCTCTTGCAGACCCCCACCGGGGACCTGGCCTGCAACCCAGCTACATGGCCTGACCAAGAATCGAACCAGCAAACCTTTGGTTGACAGGCAGGCGCCAAATCCACTGAGCCACACCAGCCAGGGCTGATTTCTGTCTTGATGAATTTGACTGCTCTAGGTGTCTCCTGCCAAGACTGTTTCCTTCCCTTCCATAACAGAGATACCTGGAAGGGACTGGATTAATCCACAGCACCCACCCGAAGCTGAGGATAGGCATCAGAGCTTTCAGAATGGCTGGAAGGACCGTGGAAAGCATCTAACAGAACCCTGGGGGAGAGGGAATACCCTGGAAAGGAGAGGACACTTAAAGGGACTCTGGAAGGACACGGAGTCAGCCGGGAAGGTGGGAGAGACTCAGACGGCCCTTGGAACCCTCTCAGATGCTGTTTTCTTTTTTGTCCTCTTGTCTGCACCCTGCAGGTCTCCAGTTTGATGGACCCAACGCCACCATCTACGAGGCAAGAGTCCCCTTCCCAGTCTTTTTGTGCACGTGGCATCCTGTCCTTGACTCACCGCCCATGCTCCCTCCCCCAGTCTCACACTCTGACAGAGCCCCGTCCAGATTCAATATCAGACATGGGTCTGAAGTGGGGGGTGGGGAGAAGGGTGCCTATGGAGGGCACACTTTTTCCAGCCATAGGAGTGGCTGCGGTTCCAGGGAGGACTTTGCGGACCACGTCAAAGCCCTGAGTCCCCACGGACACGGCTGCTGCTTCTGCAAGAAGAAGCTGCTGCCGCAGCCGTGGCTCCTGTGTTGCGCTGCCTCTGTCAGGATTAGCACCACCAAGATGGGCGCCCGTGCCCTGCCCGCTTTCCACACTTAACAAAGCTCCAAATCAGGGTCTTCTGCAGGTATATCTGACTGGCGGGCGGGACATTCATCACATCAAGAACCCCAACTGAAAAGGGGTCTGGGAAATGTAGTGGTAGTTTCCTTACCTCTGCGTTTTAAACAGAGGTCGGAAGGGGTGATCAGTGAGCAAAGCTACTCCCCCCTGCAGGGGCCTCCTCTGCCCCCACCCCCAGCTAAGCCCCCCACCCCACTTGCTTCTGTCGCTTTCTCAGTACTCTGCTGTCTTCTTCACAGCGTTCTCTGTATCTGAGCTGCCTCATCGTGTGCTATTGCATGTGTATCGCCTCTCTTCCCCAGCAGACTATAAGCTTCTTGAAGGCAAGGTGTCTGTCCCAGTCACAACTCTTCCCTCGTGCCTGTGGTTTGGATCTATCAGGAAATATCCATTGACTGACTGAAGCGTTTTCAGCAGGAGGGACATACTCTAGTCTCCTTTTCCTAAACATAATGGGCCGTTGCAGAAGACGAGAAGGCCAGAGAAGGGAGTAGCATTGGAGAGTAGCAATGGGGATGAAGAGAAGTAGACCGATCCCAGCTATATTTTGAAGGTAGCACCGATAGGACTGGTTAATAGGTTAGCTGCAAGTGTGAGGGAAAGGGCAGAAGAACAGCAACGATTTCCACTGGGGGCACTTGAGCCGTTGTATGGACGAAGGTGCCATTCACAAGGCAGGGAGAACCAGGAAGAGGGCGCAGACAGGTTTATAGAGAAAAATCAGTAGTTCGGTTTGGAAGCTATCACTTGGATTTGCTTATGGAACTTCCAAGCAGGGCAGCCAACCAGGCAGCTGGATGTCAGAAAGCCATGAGCCGTTGACATGCATTTTGAAACCGTCAGCACGTAGAGGGGATTTCAAGCCTTGGGAGTGGATGAAATCTTCTAGAAGAAGGTGTTAGAATAAGAAGGCAAAGGGCACAGAAGCAAGCCCTGAAAAACCTCCATGGGGAGGCCCAGTGGAGAAGGAAGGGCTGGCCAACGGAAGTTGAAAGGAGCTGCCTGTGGGAGGAAGAAGAAACCTAGAAAAATGGTATCCTGTAGGTCAAGAAGAAAGGCAACTGCTTGAAGGCCCCCGGGCTTGTTGCTTCTCTGCTGGACCTGGAGCAGTGACGGCCCGTGGGGCCAGGCCCCAGCTTCCGGGACGCCCCTGACGCCCCTCCTCTCGCCCCCACGTTCACTCTGCCTGCTGGCCACGCTGGGCATGTGCCCTCCCTTGCATTTAGCCTGTTTGTACTTCACCCGCCCTAGGTCACCCTGACTGCTTCTCTGGGGACATTCCACACCCTCGTTGACATCCCAGACAGTGTGGTACAGGGCAGAGGTCAGAAGCGGCTGACCATTTCGACCAGGGACCGGACGCTGTTGAATTTCATCCTCCAGCACGTGACCTACACCAGCACGGTGTACCAGCGCCACAAGGTGGACGTGGGTGAGAGCCTGTCCTCGGATGGCGAACAGGGAGCTGGAAACTCCACTGGGTGCTCTCAAGGTCTCTCTCCTCCCAGAAGCCTGTCTGCGTTTCCGAGGCTCCCCTTGCTCCTGTGTCTAACCCTAGGCACCTAACTCCTGAATGACAGTACCCAGTACTATCCCCACATTGCCACTGAGCCCATAGAAGGGAGTCAAGGAAGGACAGGTGAAATGCCTGCTCGTCCCTCTGTGAGGACAGGCCATGCATGCTGCGTACCTGGAAACCATCCAGTTCTCTTCCCCGTTTTCTAGTTCTCAAAACCGAATCCTTCAGCTGTGGTAGAGGAAGGAGCCAGTCGATGCATCTGTTTATTGTCCTGGTATTAACAGGAAAAGGATGCGGGGAACAGCCTCATCCAAAGGGCAGTGGCTTTGACTCTTCCTCCGCAACCAACACCCCCAACCCCTGCTCTAGGAACTCCCCGGAATTCCTCAGGGGAGCCCGGTTTCTTTGTGGATGAATTGAAGTCTCCCTTTTCTCTTTTGCCTATAGCATCCCCAGGACACTAACATAAAGAAATAGGACATGGGACAGATTACTCATGACCGCACACTGAAGAGTGGGTTCTCTCCGCCTTCAGGTTCTCAAACATTTCCTTTCGCAAAACTACCGTGTGAATTAAAAGAGGGCAGGTAGTGTCATCCCGGTTTTGTAGCTGGAGGAGATCGAGTGATTTGCCCAAGGCGTTTCAGATAAGAATTGGCAAAGTCAAATTTGATTCACACCCTCTGACTCCTCCCTACCCCACCAGATTCTAACAAGGGCAAGAAATGTGAGCTGAGGAACCCTCGGCAGGTTTCGGCAGGGACGCACAGCAAGTCAGGAGCCAGAGCGCGGAGGGACTCTATTAGGTCCTCAGTCTCAGCCCAGCCGGGACGCCGTCCACCAAACCTCTGTCCCCGCCTTGCATGGGCTTCCGTGGGTAGCGTGGAGAGTGACCCAGACATGGTGCTTGCTGACCTCTCTGACCCTTTTTCTCTCTGCAGTGAGTCTGGAATCCAAGTCCTCAGTGGCCAAGTTCCCAGTGACCATCCGCCATCCTGTCCTCCCCAAGTTATATGACCCTGGACCAGGTAAGGCCCTTGTCCCTGGGGCTGCAGGGTGGCATCCTGTAGCGCTATTGGTGGAACCCGGATCCCCTTTGAGACGGAGGCAGAGACTCCGTCAGAGCAGCAGCTCAGATCTGGCCCCTGACAGCAAGCTTTGTGTGGCGAGAAGGAGTTCGAGGGCACGCCGCTCTGATACTGCTTACTGATGCCTATTGTACGGTTGTGCTTATTTTGAGAAAGACCTAATGACCGGCAACATTTTAATAAGGAAGAATAATAGGAATAAAAACAGAATGGTACTGGGGCGTGAATAAATATATCAATGGAATCGAATTGGAATTCCAGAAATAGACACGTCAGAGTTTTACCTTGTGACAAAGGTATCTTTTCAAATTAAAGGGGGACAGATAGATTATTTAAGAAGCTCTGTGGGATGACCGTGTGGCTATGTGTACATAAGCAGCCGAATCTGTCCCATAGCTCATACCGAGATAAATTCCAAATAGATCAAATATCTAATTTTTTTAAGTACTAGAAAAAAATGTGGTTTAAAAATAACATTGGAGTATAAGGTCTTTCTGAATATAACACAAAACCCAGAAGCTATAAAGAGAAGACTAACACATAATATACGTAAAATTTTTTGGCGTTTTTGTGGCAGAGACTCACCATACGTAAAGTTTAATGAAAAAAAAAACAAATTGGGAAAAATATCTTCAACCCACATTAACCTGAAAGGTCTAATTTTACTTAGAGTGCCTGCAAAGCCGTAAGTAAAGAACACCTAATAAGCCAGTGGAAAATGCACAAATAACAAAAAATTAAGTTTGGCAAGACTTTTACCCATTAAAATATATGCTCAGGATCACACTAAGAAAAGTGCCCATGAACACTACGTCTGTATCAGAAAGGACTGGCCAAGGAGTGGGAAACAGACATTCTCACAACCTGGGCTGGTGAGACACACTTCTGGAGGAACTGGCACTCTTAACATTCCAAGTGTGTGTGTTGTTTGGGCCAGAAATTCCATGTCTAGAAATTATCCTACAGACACTTACATCTGTGTGAAATAACATTTTTTTTTTGCAATGAAAAAAAAAACATTAAAAGTAGGGTGTTCTGGAAGGAGGGAGGAGGAAAGCACAAGGGTTGGGGTTTTTAAATACGGACACCAAATGCCTTCCGAGATGTGAGCAAGGTACGGAAGAGAGCGATGAGCAGGCTACAATTTATGTAAAAGAAAAAAGTGTGTGTGTGGGGGGGGAGAGTGTATTTACATAATTGCTTAATTATGGAAAAAATAAATAAGAAGTTGCTAATATTGGTTGCCTCCTGGGGGGAAACCAAGTAGTTGGGGACAGGGGTGGGAAGAAGTATCTTCATGGGATTACTTTCTATATTTTAGAATTTTGAATTACTTCGCATTTAAAAAATATACTACCTACACATTTAAAATATAATCTATTCTATTCAAATGACTTTATTCAAAACATATATTAAATTATTTAAAATAGAAATATTGTGGGCAGTGATTTAAAAGATTTGTTTAATATAACTATCTCAAAAAATAAATAAAATAAGCCTAAGAAAATTCCCCAAAACACTTTTTAAAGGGCTTCAGGTTTGTTTTAAAGACAGAGTGTTGCAGACCGGGTGGAAATCACAACCCCTGCCCTTCCCTGCCTCCAGCAGCCACAATCACGTGTACCTCCCCCTACTTTTGTACGTCTGATATGTAGATTTCTACCCTCCCCTGCCCCCCCCCCCACAATGCATACGGTGTGAGGTTATGTATCTTTGGAACGTTTCGTAAAGGTTTTCACACCGTATGGTATGAAGGTCTAGATCCTGCTGTTCTGTCAGCCCGTGGCTTGTCTTTTGATTTCGTTGCTGGGGTCTTTCGTTACACGAAATCTTTATCCTTTACTGTAGTACAATTGCAATTTTTCCTTACACTAAAGCCAGAAAGATATTCTCCTGGATTTTTTCCAGAGATGTATGTGTTTGCTTTCCCATTGAGTTAACTGAACTACGTAGAAATTATTTTTATTTTATTTCTTAGGCATGTGATGGAGATCTCATCTTTTGTTCTATTTATAGCAAGTGGTTCCAACACCGTATACTCCCTCCCTCCTCCCTGGCTTGTGTTGCACTCCACCACACCCCAAGGTTCCTAAGCGCAGGAGCCCGAGTCTGGGCTTTCTCCGGTTGCACTGATCTGTTTACTGTTGGGCTAATTCCATAGTGTTTTGATACACTTTATAACAGGTTTTCTATCTAGTAGGGATAAATCCTGTACTTTGGGATAACTGTACTTCATTTCTAAAATTTTTTTTAATGTAAAGTTCTTTTTGGTCTTTTACTCTTCCATTAGAATGTTTGGGTCAGCTCATCAAGACCCTCTAAAATGCCTTGAAATTCTGATTAGAATTTTGTAGAATTTAAATATTAATTAGAGATGAATTCTCAATATTATGAAGTTGGATATTCCCAACAATGAGTTCAGTAGACCTCTCTATATTGTAGTTTCCATAAGTTCTTTGGTAACTTATTTTTTAAATATTTATTTATTTTAGAGAGAGGGGAAGAGAGGAAGGGAGGGAAAAAGACAGGGAGAGAGACATTGATTGGTTGCCTCTTGAATGCACCCTGACCCAGAGCCAAACCCACAACCTTGGCATGTGCCCTGACCTGGAATTGAACTGGTGACCTTTCGCTTTGCAGGATGACACTCAACCAACTCAGCCACACTAGTCAGGGTCTCTTCAGTAATTTATTTTGGGATTTTATTTCTAAGGGAATTGCACATATTTTATTGGATTTAGTCTTAGGTACCTGATACTTTCATTGTTACTGCGAATTGGATCTTTTCCTTCTACATTTAAGTGGTTGCTGCTAGTAGAGAAGACATTGGTAATTTCTGAATGTTGAACTGGTAAACCACATCTTTGTTTCACTCTTACTAATGATTTTTTTAACATATAGCGTCTCTTAGACAAATGATGATGATTTTTGTCCTTTTCTTTCCAATTCTTAAAATTTGTTTCTTTTTCTTGTCTTACTGCATTTGGCTAAAATCTCTGTTTTTACAGTGTTGAATAGTAGCAGTGGTAGCAGGCAATTTCGCTTGTTCCTGACTTTAAGAAGAATATTGTAATGTTACCCCACTAATGGTTGCTGTGTGGGAGTGTGGTAGATATACCAGGGTAAGAGAGTTTCCTTCTTTCCTTCTATTTCTATTGCTAAGCATTTTCTATTTCTACTTTCTGTTTTCTATTTCATTGTTAAGAGTATTTATTATGAACAAGTACTGAATTTTATCAGGTAATTTTTCTGCCTATTGAAATAAATTTTCCCCTTGATATGGGTTCATACAGCAATTTATGTGGATTGATTTTCTGCTGCTGAAATATCCTTGCATTGCTGGAATAAACCCATCTTGATTGCAATGCATTATCTGATTAAATGCTGAATTAAATTTATGACTATTTTATTTAGAATTTATACACCTGTATTCAAAAATGAATATATCTTCTCCTGGAATATCCTTGTTCAGTTTTCAATGTTATACATGTCTCTTAAAATGAGTTGGGTAGCTTTCCTTTTTGTTTTTAAAACTATTTTCTGAAATGAATGGTAATAAAGTAGGAATTACATGTCTCTTGAACTTTTCTTAAAATGTATTTGGTCCCTTTGTCTTTGAGGGGGTTGAGTTGCAAGGTATGTGGTTAGGGATTAAACGTGGGAACATGTGAAGGAAAGGGGGGAAGGTTTTTTTTTAGATTTTATTTATTTATTTTTAGAGAGGGGAAGGGATGGAGAAAGAGAGAGAGAGAAACATCAGTGTGTGGTTGCCTCTCATGTGGCCCCCACTGGGGACGTGGCCTGCAACCCAGGCATGTGCTCTGACTGGGAATCGAACCTGCAATGCTTTGGTTCCCAGCCTGCGCTCAATCCACTGAGCTACGCCAGCCAGGGCAAGGGGGGAAGTTTTAAAATGTAATTCTGTGTCTTCATGGTTATTACTCTGTATGTACATTGAGTCAGTGTTTTACATGTTTCCATAAAAGTATCCACTTGACATAAAAGGGTCAGTTTTTGTCATAAAATTGTTCATAGCATTCACTTATGCTTTTATAACATTTAAATACATCTGAAGTCGCGCCCCACTTTACGTTCTTAACATTGACCTTCAATAACTTGTAAGCAGTTTTCATATTCAACTATTCTCATTTTATTTATACTTGTTTTTGTTTCATATTTTCTTTTTTATATATGCGACTCTGTTATTCATTGCTTTAAAGATTTGAAACATTTTCTGTTTAAATCCTTGTCAGATGTCTCTATTGTTTTCAGTCTCTCTGGAGCGGGTTCGTCTGCACAAGGGAGACTAGCTGGCTGTTGTTTTCCATATTAATTTTGAGTGATTTGGAACTTGTGTTGGTGAGCTCATCTTCAGGAGGAGACCTTTGCTTGCTTGTTTCGACTTCTCTCTTCCTCCCCTGACTTCCTCTCTTCCTCTCCTGACCTCCTCCCATCTCACCGCTTTACAGCTGGTCCTGCCTTCAGGTTCCCCAGGTTCCCGGTCCGTTCTCTGACACTGGGGTCTTGGGTTCCTGCCCCACGGTGATGCTGGAGTTACCAAGGAGCCGGTCGCCGGGCCTGAGGGTGGCTTCACACAGGTCCTGCCGTGAGATGGTATCATCTCTGTTTGCAACCAGAGAGGTGTATGGGGGTGATAGCTGTTCGGGGTTCCTTGTGCAGTAAGTAGGTAGTAGATGGGGCATGGGGGAATGCGACCTAGTTTCAGTCCCTGGCTTCTAGCAAAAAGCCCGGCTCTGGACCCACACATCCCAGGAGACACTTCTACTGCATTACCTTTCGGAATCAGCCTCCCGCCTCCTCTGTGGTGCTCTGAGCCTGGAATCCAGCCCCTGCTTGGTGCTTTTTGTTTCTATTTCTTGGAAGAAAAGTCACGTATTTTTCTGACCCATAGTCAGACGCGTTATCCATTGCACCACTGGCCCTGTACTAAAAAAGTCATGCATGTTTGCGCATGGCTGTCTCTTTGTATTTCTCTTGATCATGACTGTTTGTAGGGTGAGGGAGGAAAGCAGAGAGCCACACCACCAACTTGGCTAGGAATCCCTTACCTTGACCACAACCTGTGATAATTCACACTCCTGGTTCTCTCTAACAAAAGAACCAAGCTTGTCACGTGGCCTGAGAAAAGCAAAGGGAGGATTCCTTTGACATGCTCTTGAGTGGGATCTACCTAACTCTTTCCGCTCACGCCTTTCCCCCTCTCTCCCTCAGACCAGGAGAAGCTGGGGCAATGGAACAACCTGGGGGGTCAGGAACGACTCCTGTCATTCTGAGAAAGCGGCTCTGTCGTGGGATTGCAGAGCACTCACTCACAAACACTAGGTAGGGCTGTGGTTTTCCGCAGGAACTAACTCCAGCCAAGCCCACCCACGCAACCCCCCCACGTGCTCAGTCAACCAGCGTGGCTCCACCCTTGGTGGCTGAATTCCAGACACATACCAGCAGCTTCCGCTGTTTTGGCACAGGGTCTTTTCCTGGAACAGCTGTCCCTTCTCCAGCCTTTTATGTAAATCACATGCCTTAAGGTGGACAATCCGGTCCGGTCCTCCCAATCTCCAAGTAGACCTATTCTCTCACATCTTCCTGAGCGTCAAGTCCAAGCAGGTTTCTCTGTAGGAATTTCAGCTGATGGCAGGAACAGGTCTCAAGTCCTGTAAACCTTCTGTCCTCTTCCTGGGCCCTGTGACCTTCCATGTTGAAGGGAAAGGCTCTGTGCATCTCAGCTCCGAGTAGTAAGCGAAAACAGAAGGCGAGCAACGTGTGGCAGACGAGCACACCATAAAGCATTCAAACGGACAGTTGGAAATGGCGTAGTGGAACCAAACAGGCCCCCCAAAAAAACCCTCTAGAATATAAGACAGACAAAATGTCTACAAACTCCATATGTTTTAAATTTATTTATTCATTCATTCATTCATTCATTGATTCATTCATTTTCTAATGTTACCAAATTCTTTGCAGCGGTCCTGGTTAATAAAGTTATGTCGGTGCCAAGTGTACGGCTCTCTAACACAGCCTCTGTGTACTGCACGGTGTGCTCACCACCCCAAGCCAAGTCTCCTCCCGTCACCGTGTAGTTGACTCCCTTTCCCTCTGGTAATCACCACACTGTGGTCTGCGTCTGTAAGTGTTTGTTTGTTTGTCTTGCTTGTTCATTTGGTTGTTTTCAGTGTCATATCCCACATAGGAGTGACTTTTTCCGTCTGACTTACTTCGCTTAGCGCGATACTCTCGAGATCCATCCATGTTGTTACAAAGGGCAGCATTTCATCTTTTCTTACGGCTGACTTGCATGCCACTGTCTAGATGTACCACATCTTCTTTATCCAGTCATCTCTCTAAGGTTGTTTCCTTATCTTGGCCGCCATGAATAACGCTGCAGTGAGCATAGGGATACATAAATATGTTTATTTTCCAACCCACCGAACAAACCTCTATTAAGCATCTTCTGAGGCATGAGGTCCACAGACACCGAGAGGCTGCGACACGATGAGACCACCAGGACAATGCACGTAAGACAGTGAGGCTTCTCGAAAGACAGTGCTCTGACCTCTACCCTTTCTCGCCCAGAGAGGAGACTCAGAGACCTGGTGACTATTGCCACCAAAACTTTCCTCCGTCCCCACAAGCTCATGGCCATGCTCCGGAGTCTTCGTGAGTATTACCCAGACTTGACTGTGATCGTGGCTGATGACAGCAAGGAACCTCTGAAAATTAATGACAGCCGCGTGGAGTACTACCTCATGCCCTTTGGGAAGGTATGTCCCTCCCAGATGGGGAGACACAAGAGGGCCCCCGAGTCAGGTGCCGCCCTGGATGGGGCTGCTTCAGTGGCCTTCCCAAGGAAGCCCGGTCCTAAGTGGGAAGGAGTAAGACTCTTCTCTGGGTCCCCTTGCTGACTCCAGATTCACAGAGAAATCAGGCCACTCTCACCATTCTGCATTGACAGGGCGGCTAATCTGACTTTCCTCACACTTGGTGTGAAAGTTGACTGAGGTCCTTCTAAGTGATTTGAGGTGTCTGACATCCCGAAGAGTCCTGACATACGGCTCCAAGGACACAGATACTTCTCACCCCTGTGATTCTACCCCGGCTGGAGCGGCTCTCTCTCTGTCTCTCTGCCACATGCCTTCCTCCAAAGACACACAGAAGGAAGTGGATACTGTACATACCAGAGAGTCCCTCCTTCCAGCATCTTCCAGGCAACATAAGGAGACATGGAAGGAGAGCCACAGAGATTCTATCAGATGGAAAAGGGCATCCCTCCATCCATACTGGCCACAGGGCCAAGAAAGGGCTTTCTAGTCTTTCTGTCTCTGATCCACAAAGTCCTGGTCCTCCTTCCAGTGTCTCTGAGACATGGACTCCCTTTGACCCAGTGGCTCTCAACCGCTGTTGTATATTGGATTCACTCCCACGAAGTCTGACTTAATCCGTCCGGGGTGCAGCCTAGCTGTCGGGGATGAGAAAGCTCCCCCGTGTGATTATTCTCATGGTGACCACTGATCCAGCCTCATTCCACCTGCAGGGCTGGTTTGCTGGCAGGAACTTGGCCATATCTCAGGTCACCACCAAATACGTTCTCTGGGTGGACGATGACTTTCTCTTCAACAACAAGACCAAGATTGAGATGCTGGTGGATGTTCTGGAGAAAACAGAGCTGGATGTGGTAAGGGAGGGTTGCCACCTGTACAAACAACCAAGGGAGGGAAGGAGAGGGGAAGGGAAGAGAGGAAAGTAGGTGAGGGAATAGGAGAAGAAAAGAAGGAAGAGGAGAGGGAAGGAAGGTGAGGGAGAGGGGCCGATGCAGGCGATGAAGAGCCAGCGCAGCTCTGGGGTGCAGAGCACCACCCCAGGGCTCGGGAGATGCGCGAGCTCTGTTTCTGCCTCCATACTTACTTTTCCTGGAGAACATGGTGGCCCCACCCCAACCCGCCATTGTTTCGTCTTTCAAACGATGTGTTCCCGCATCACTTCTGACCTCCTCCCTGGAGTGGCGAGGGATGAAAGAGCAAGCGGTGCTTTGGTTCTGTCCCACACCTCTTGAAAATAAGTGTAAATGGTACAAAGCTTTAAAAGCACATTTATCCCTCATGACATTTTAAGAAGAAGAAGAAAATAATAAAAACATCAAACGTCAACGCACATGCAGAAAAGAGAAGAAAAAGGTGCCGGGAGGTAATGGCACTGTAGCGTATTGCGGAACTTTGGGAGAGGGCAGCTCTTGCATCTCCTCGGCGCACACAATGATACTGACGTTAAAGTGACAGACAGGTCAGTTAGCGTGACCGTGGTGACCTTTTCACAATGCGTGTATATGTCAAAACATCAGGCCGTATACCTCTAACATATACAATTTTAACATGTCAAAGATATCTCAACAAAAGCTGTTTAAAAAAGAAAGAAAGTGGATGAGTGCCATCGTGACCACAGCCAACCCTTACCCCAGACGGACGGTCCCCAGAGCACCCAGGTGACTGCTCCGGTCCCTCGGCTGCTCTTCCAGAGACCAAATCAACAGCGTCAACGAGAGAGCAGGTGTGGCTCCCACACATGTTGGAACCCGAGCTGGCACTTGACCCTGCCGCTGAGGTCATCCTGGACCAGCTTCTTTCTCTTGCTGCTTCATCACCTTCGGGGTCCTCAGCTGCAAGGCCAGAGGAGAAGGGGAGCGAAGAAGGAGAAGATCATCTTCTTTTAAAAATGTGATCTATCTACATCGTGGTCCGTCAGCCAGGACTTGGCCACGTGGTCAGACCTAGCAAAGGAAATGGGGAAGTTTCTTCTTTACCTGGATAGTGAACTCCATGTATCTTTTTTTTTTAAGATTTTATTTATTTATTTTTAGAGAGGGAAGGGAGGGAGGGGGAGAGAGAGAGACAGACAGACAGACAGACAGACATCAATGTGCGGTTGCTGGGGGTTATGGCCTGCAACCCAGGAATGTACCCTGGCTGGGAGTCGAACCTGGGACAATTTAGTTCCCAGCCCGCGCTCAATCCACTGAGCTACGCCAGCCAGGGCCCTGTATCTTAATATAATGCACTTAAAACTCAGATGGCTCATTTATGAAAAGGACGGAGGAAAGAACAGGTGATGGGGGATAGCAGTGGGCTTTACTATGCCATCTTGAATGATAATGATGGTTCAGGAATAGATGTACTCACTTGTCCTGTTCTGCATGGGAAAAGGTATGTAAGTGCACGTGTCCCCCACAAATGCACAGTTGCTCAGAGAGGTGCGTGGGGAGCAGAGAATGGGAGAACTGCAAGAAGCTGCAAGAAGCCCAACAGGGGAGACTCCATGTACGGACCACTGCGCATGCGGGCTCTTGCCTGCACCCAAATACTGCTCCTGCTAATGGAAGGGAGTGAGTTACCTGACGCGATCACCCACCGGCAGTGACCGCGGAACGCTGCGGATGGCTCGTCGACACATGACAAAAACATACACAGAAACAACCAGGTCCTGTGGGGAAGTAGGAACGGAATGGCCACTCTCTCTAGTGGGGAGTGCCATGGCCACCCTCCCTAGGGGAGAGCACCCCATTCTCCCGCCCAAGCAGGCTTTTTATTGGGTTCGTTTGCATAAGAATTCAGGTAAAGCTCATTACTCATTGCTGGGCAGTAAGGATCAAACAATAGATAACAAGGAACTCTGAGGGCCTATTTTGAGTCAGGGTCAAAGAGCTGTAAAAAACTTTAAGGAACAAACTTCTTCTTTGGACCCTTATCATTCAATTGAGAGCATTCTAAACAAAGCAGGTTTCACAGGATTTTACACATTCTTTCTTAGGCCTGGTTACCCAGGGAACCCACCCTTTCCAGCACAGGGCTGCACCACCCTCTGTCATTGTTTCAGGCTTAGGTAGAGCAAGGGAAGGAAGGCAGCCAAGAGATAAGGAGATTCTCTCACAGACCATGAGAACTCAGGCTATGTCAAAGCTGAGGGGCGAGGGTCCATCACCCCTTTTTGCTGTACCCCTCAAAGTCCTTCCTTGGGGGCCTCCCCCTGATTATGCCTGTCTTATATTGTTCCCTCCTTGGGGAATCTTACCCGTCATTGGCTAGCCGACCAAGCATTGGGGGCCAGGCAGGGTGAAGTAATAGGAGCAGAAGCGGCGCTCTTGCCAGGGAGATAAACTTTTGTCTCCTTGCTGGCTTATGGTCCAAGGTCGTTCCCTCAGCCTTAGCCTTGGTGGGGGTTACAGCTTCTGATACCAGGCAGGGCGGTTCCCAACAGTTACCTTCTTCTGGAAAGGACGAGCTTGCTTGTAGGCTAAGCAGAGCAGAGAACTTGTCTGCCCTTTCGACTTGGTATAAGTGCTTTCTGCTCTCACCAACCAGATTTTCTGGAGTGAGTAGGAACGAAGGATCAAAGGACCCGGCAGTCTGTGCTGGAGGCTGTGGCTGCAACAGCAAGGAGAGAGTAACTGAGGGACAGTATGAAGGGTAGATAGAAAAAGGATGTGATTCTTGTTGTAACTAAGGTTCAGTCCTCACGGAGGCAAGATGGATGTCGAGTCTGTGTTCTCTAACGTGGATTTCTCTGCTCGCGGGCTAGGTAGGCGGCAGTGTGCTTGGAAATGTGTTCCAGTTCAAGCTGTTGCTGGAGCAGAGTGAGCATGGCGACTGTCTTCACCGGAGGGTAGGATCTTTCCGGCCCGTGGACGGCTTCCCCACCTGCGTGGTGACCAGCGGCGTCGTCAACTTCTTCCTGGCCCACACGGACCGGCTGCTGAGAGTCGGCTTCGACCCCCGCCTGCAACGCGTGGCTCATTCAGGTGGGGAGGCTGGAGAGGGGCGGGCGGCCGCTGGGTTACGAACTGGCCTTAGAAGTTTGTTCTTTTGGGAGCATGCTCCACTGATCACAGCCGCTTGCCCGGCAACTGTGAGTTTCCTTTCCCTTTCACCCCAAATTAAGGAGCTCCTGGCCTCTCTTGGCTCCCTCTTCACCCTCTCCTTGACTTCTTGCCCCCTGTAGGCTATTCCTGCTTGTCCGAGACACCCTTCCTCTTCCTCACCCCCTCCCCTCAATGGCTCTGTCCACGCCCCCTTTCCCCACTCTGCTTCCTATTCTCATTTCCCCTAAAATCCTTTCCTATGTATCTGCAACTGGTTAACTGCCCTCCCTCCTTCCCCTCTTATTCCCTCAGTCCTGGAGTCCACAGTCTGTCTGTCCGGCTGGAAAGCTAATCTGTGCTTCTCTGCCTCTCTGCCCATATCTCTGTCTGAGAAATGACCTTATTGATTTCCTTCCAAATCGGCTCAGCCAGGTGGCTCTGCAGGAAGCTGAACCTCCCCCTGACTCTCGTCCCAGACCTGGAGTATGGCCCTGGGTCTCTGGCTGAAGCTCACATTTCCTTCTCCCGCTCTCCCTCTCTCTTGCAGAGTTCTTTATCGATGGGCTCGGGAGCCTGCTCGTGGGGTCCTGCCCAGATGTGATTATAGGTCACCAGGCCCACGCGTCACAGGTGGACCCGGAGCTGGCCGCCCTGGAGAAGACCTACAGCAAATACCGGACCAACAGCAATGCCCAAATCCAGTTCAAGCAGGCTCTCCACTACTTCAAGAACCACCTCCAGTGCGCCACGTAAAGGTGTCCAGACATCGGAAAAGCATCAGGTCAACCGGTTGTGGGTGTCTGGAGCAGTGGGGCCAGTGGTCAGGCTACCAGGCAATGGGCTCCTAAAAAGATGGACATTATAACAAACCGCATAGTGTGTAGGGCAGATGGGATGGATTCAGTTACTCGAAAGACCAATCGAAAGCTAGCAGTCATTGGCCCCAATCACTCACTGATCAGGGCAATGGAAACCATATTAATGACGATTATTTATTTGTTTGATGCTTTACTGTTGATGAAGCATTTGCACATACAGTATCTCACATCATTTCCTGAGATCTCACAGGAAGGAGGGTTCGTATCTTCAGTCAAAAGACAGGCTGGTTGCTGGCTGAGGGCTATTTGGTGGCAAGTATGTAACAGCCAGGGCATCATCTCCAGCATCACCGTCATCCACAAGTTTTTATTTGGTCCTACCTTATGGCTTCAGATGATGAGAATAGCCCATGATCCTTGCCTTGAGGAGGTCATAGCCTGATTCAGTTCAGTCCACTAGCACCACTGGGCAGCCAGGGTCAGAGGATCAAAGGAAGGGGAAGTCATGTGGCCCAGGCAACTGAGGATGGCGCTGTGGAGTGAGCTTATCGGAGCCCGGAAGATGGATGGGATTCAGGCGGTTGGAGGGCGGGAGGGGAGCAGTGGGTAGTCTGCTGTCTGCTGGAACAGGTTTTCCTGGCACCAGACTTGCTACCACAAAGACACATTCCAGAATGCCAGGGATTGAACTTGGACCCCACTCTAAGGTGTGGTGATAAACAATATGCGTGTGGTGGCAAGGCACTCAGTTCCTGGGACTCGAGACCAGTTACTGACTACTCCAGACCCCTGTCGCCTGCAGCACGGGGCCCTCACGTGTTGTTGAGAAAGGCGCTCTGTCATCTTTGGAGCCCGCAGGCTCTACAACTGCTGACCTCGCCCCCCCGTTTACCGTTTCTTCTCTCTCCTACGGAAGATCGCTGAGGGTAGTTCAGGATCTCTGAAGACATGTCTGTGAGCTATTAATAAAACTTCACGAAAAGTATTTCAGGCCCTGGCTGGGTAGCTCAGTTGGTTAGAGTGTTGTCCTGATACACCAAGGTTGTGAGTTGGATCTCTGGTCATGACACGTATAGGAGGCAATCAGTGAGTGCGTAAATAAATAAATGGATACAACAAATTGATACACACATACACATCATACACATACACATCAACGGTCAAATAAGTTTTAAAAAATTGCAATTTACACTAGCATAGGAAAGGCTCTTAGAAGTTCTACAGTAAAGAAATCGGTTTAACTTTAATTCAGCATTTCTCAGATACGGATAGAGACTGGCAATCATGTTCCCCCCCAAATTGGAATTGAACACATAGATCTCTTTCTATTGTTGTCATAAAGATTCTATGGTGCCCTGGCTGGTGTGGCTCAGTGGATTGAGTGCCAGCCTGTGAACCAAAGGGTCACCAGTTCGATTTCCAGTCTGGACACATGCCTGGGTTGCGGGCCAGGTCCCTGATGGGGGCAGGGGTGCTGCCTGAAAGGCAACTACGCATTGCTGTTTCTCTCCCTCCCTTCTCCTCTCTCTAGAAATAAACAAAATATTTTTTAAAAAGATTCTATTGCAAAAGCTTTTCTAGCTTTAACTAACATGCACAATCACTTCATGTAATAATAGCACATGCGTTTTATGGGCAGTAATGTTAGACAGGACAAGGCTATTAAGGTCCAGGCAGTTCTTACTCAGTGCCATTCTTGCTAAATGTTACATAAAGTGCAGCACAGTATTTTGCAGGTGCAGCTGTAGTCAGAGGAGCTTCACCCAAACCCAACGAGATAGGTTTAGCCAACTGCAAAGAAGAAATCAATATTAACATTAACAAGGAGTATATTTAAGCAGTGGCTCAGCCTCCTTTCTGGGCAACAGGACTTTGGGTATGAATCCCGTCTCCAAAACTACCTAGCAACAACCACACCTCTTTCTTGAACAGGGCACCCCAGGGGCGAACCCCTTGAGTTGGGTAACATTCACAAACCTGGGGGTGGCCATAGGAGTTAAAACTCACCAGTTATTATCAGTCAGATGTTTAAAGAAACTGATTGCCCAGGAGACCTCAAAAACTTATAGGTTTTCTGTTCTTTCCAGTCAATCCCAGACATCTGGTCTAGACATAATCTTTGAGATTGGGAAATGCTTTCTGGTAACCACAGGCCTCTACGCCTTGCCTACTCCTTGGCACTCAGTTAAATGACCTTTGCTTTTAGGCTATTCAAACTCCGCCTCTAAGGCACAGAGAGACCATTTATAATCTCTTCTTGCCCCCACATTTTTCCTCAACGTGGGCAGTAAATGTTTAAAGCTCTCCAAGGTAGTAGTAGGCTGGTCTTTTTGCTCAAACTGGTCTTCGGCTGTCTCTTCACTCTGCTGGTGCTTTCTGTTGGGGAAGAGAATTCAGCTTTTCCAGCCCTACAAGGCTGCAAATTACAGGACTGAGGGTCCTATAATTTTACTGGGAAACTTGGACTGCAAACCATTCTCAGCAAGAGCATGTTATGCCTGCTTTTAAAACAGGGTGTCTCAGCCCAAATCTCGTCTCTCCTCTAGGACTGTCCTGAAGACGGTGTGAAGTCACTGACGCATGCCAACATCCTCATCTGTTCCGGCCATTTCCTGTTCTTGATATTCTACAGTCTTGAGGAACAGTCTGTGTTCCAGACACCGGCAACGGTTTCAGGATCACCAGCTTCCCTGAAGGTCACTGCTCCCTACCCCAGCTCTTCTGCACGATGCTGCGTCTAATCACCTTCTTGGAGATTCGCATCTGCATACAGTTCTTTTTCTTAATCTTTTGCTGGCGTGCTCCAACTGCCTTCATAGCCTTCGGTCTTCCTGCTCCAGCTTCCAACAAGTCTTCTGTATAAAATCTACATTTCTCATCCTCCTTTAAAGTTTACCAGGAGCTTGCCAAGTTTTTCATCATGTAATTGAGTAATCTGCGTAACTACATGTCTGTTTCCTCTCCCATGCGCTTGGAGAAAGACCCCTGCTCTCTGCATATAAGGACTCAGAAGGCGTTACTCACAAAAGGGGAGAAAAAAGTGATACATTTGATATGATCAAAATGAAAACCTTCTGCTAATCAAAAGGCACAGTTACAAAAGTGAAAAAAATAAGCCACAGACCAGAAGAAAATATCTATGATACAAATATTTGGTAAAAGGTTCGTATCACATATATGTAAACAATTCCTATAAATTAATAAGATGACAATTTTTAAGTGGGAAAAATACTTGAAGAAATGCTTAGAGAAGAATATAACTAAATGGCTAATGAGCATGTTTAAAAAAAAAAAGATGTTCAACTTTGCGAACCATCAGGAAACTGCAAATTCCAGCCATAAGGAGAGATTATTATACACCCACCAGAATGGCTGAATTTAAAGGACTAACGGCTAAGACGTGGAGCAGCTGGAACGCTCATACACTGCCGGTGGGAGTGTGAAATTGTACGGCCACTTTGGCAAGCTGTGGGGTAGTTCCTAATAAACATAAATGTACACCTAGCCTGTGACCCAGCAATTCCATTCCTGGTTATGTGCCCTAAACCAAATGTTAGCACAAGAATGGTCACGGTAGCTTTATTTATATCAGATCCAAGGCGGAAAAAACCCCAAATGTCCATCCACTGGAGAATGGACCGAGAAATTGTGGTGTATTCATACAGTAGACTCCTACTTAGCAATAAAAACATGCTGTTGATACATAAAGTGCAATGGATGACTCTTAAAAAACATTGTTAATTACAAAACGGTATCATTTGTCTGGCTTCTTTTTGTATATATAAACTTTAAAGTAGGCAAAACTATTTTTTGGTGATAGAAACCAAAGTAGCACCTTCAGCCCTGGCTGGTGCAGCTCAGTGCATTGAGTGCCAGCCTGCAAACTGAAAGGTCACTGGTTCGACTCCCAGTGAGGGCACACACCTGGGTTGTGGGCCAGGTTCCCAGTTGCGTGTGTGCGACAACTGATTGATGTTTTTCTCCCCCTTTTTCCCCTCTCTAAAAGTAAATAACTAAACAATCTTTAAAAAAAAAGACTGAAAATACCAAGCATTTAAAAGACAAACGAAACTCAAGTAGTGATTTCAGGGGAACAGGGTCAGTAATGACTAAAAAGGGGCCCCAGGGAATTTTCTGCAGTGATGAAAACTCTTTAGATCTTTAAATTTGTTTACAAAAATGTTTATTTCTCAATTGCAGTTTACATTCAATATTATTTTGTATTAGTGTCAGGTGTGCAGCATCGTGGTCAGACAGTCACGTACTTAACAAATGCCCCCCTGATATTTCCAGGGCCCACCTGGCACCACACATAGGCGCTACAAGAAAACGCTCTACATCTTAGTGTAGGCGATGGTCGCATGGGTGTATGCATTTGTAAAATGGTGATTTCAGTTCAGAGTTGTGCATTTTACTTTATGCAAATAGTATCTCAATAAAATACCATTTAACAAGAATGAGATCTATTTTACATGTACTGTTATAGAATGACTCTCAAGATAGTGGGGGCTAAGTAAATAGAACAAAGTGCAGAACACTGTTTTTATTTTTATTTTATTTTATTTTATTTTTATTTTATTTCATTTTTAACACTGTCTAAGTCTGTGTAATGGCCTGTCTCATGGAGGAGAGCGCCGGAACAGGTTAGACTCTGTTGCTGTAGCAAGCTCAAATTGTGCCAGACAGTTCTGATTGTCTGCCACAGAGTGTTGCTTGACTGTTTTGATTTTTTAAAGAAAAGAAAGATGCATATACATGGATATTTTTATAAGAACAAAATATCTATAGAAGGAGAGTATCAGAAGTTGCCTCTAAGTAAGAACAGGAAGTTTTCACCAGAAAGTTTTATTCAGCTATGTATTTCCTTTTATGCCCTTTGAATTTTGTATCATGCTCATGTATTACCCATTGAAATATTTTTTTTAAAGATTTTATTTATTTATTTTTAGGGAGGGAAGGGAGGGAGGGAGAGGGAGAGAGAGAGAGAGAGATAGAGAGAGAGAGACATCAATGTGCGGTTGCTGGGGGTTATGGCCTGCATCCCAGGAATGTACCCTGGCTGGGAATCGAACCTGGGACACTTTGGTTCCCAGCCCGCACTCAATCCACTGAGCTACGCCAGCCAGGGCTCCATTGAAATATTTTTAAAATTTTTAAGGAAAGGAAAAGCAAGAAGGCTTTAATTTTTTTTTAAAAAAGGTTTTTTTATTATTTATTTTTAGAAAAGGGAAGGGAGGGAGAAAGAGAGAGAGAAACATCAATGTGTGGTTGCCTCTCACGTGACCCCACTGGGGACCCGGCCCACAACCCAGGCATGTGCCCTGACTGGGAATCGGTCTTGCGATGCTTTGGTTCACAGCCCGCACTCATCCACTGAGCTACGCCAGCCAGGGCAGTAAGACGGCTTTTAAGTATCAAATTGTTATTATGTTAAGTGCCAAAACAGAACAAAATTTACATATATGTGTGCACACACACACACGCACAATACAGTGAGACTGACAATGTAAACATGCATTTTGAAAAAAAGGAAATGATCCCTGGCCGATGTGGCTCAGTGGAGTGAGCACCAGCCTGTGAACCAAAGGGTTGCTGGTTTGATTCCCGGTCAGGACACATGCCTGGGTTTCAGGCCGGGTTCCTGGTTGGGGGTGTCTGAGAGGCAACTGATGGATGTTTCTCTTGCACATCGATATTTCTCTCTCTCTTTCTCCCTTCCTTTTCCCCTCTCTAAAAAGAAATTTTAAAAATTTAAAAAATATTTTTTAAAAAAAGGAAATGAAACACATCAAGCACTGTTAAAAGTGCTTGTTGGGACTGTGGTTATTTTTAAATCTTTCTACTTTACTGCTTTTTCTACCTTTTCTGTCATAAATGTTTTACAATCTGAAAAGATAAAACAATTATTTAAAAAGACACAGTGAAAACACTCCAGAAAAAAAATGAAATGTGGATGCCGCTTTGTTCAAAATAAGTATGTGGCCAGATTTCCCCATCAGAGTTTCCTGGGGAATGCCAGGCCCAGAGCAGGGGGCTGGGTGTAGGGGTTGGGCGGGGCAAGCTGGGAGACTCAGGGTGTCACTTGTCACCCAGCGCAAGGAGGTGCTGATGGATTGCCTGGCATAGCCAGAGCTCCCAAGGCAAAGTGGAGGATCTGTGGCAGATAACACCTCACCTGGCTGGTGAGGACACAGAGCAAGGCAGACGCTATCCCAGCTCACTGTGAGTGGCCTCAGCAAGGATAAAGGAAAGCGATGAACCTTGATAATGAACATTAATACTTTTCACGTTAACTACTTGGAGCATCACTGCAACTATTATACTATCCATTTATTGTCTGTTTATACAGGCTCCCAAGAAACTTGGGAGAATATCTTAGAAGTCCCTTATCCTGGGCTTTAGCCCTTTTCTCTTAAAACCTGGCCTCACTGTACTTTCTGAGGTATACTTAGCCCAAGTTCAGCCTTTAGACTGAACCCCACCTCAGGCTAACCCCACCTGGGATAGAGCCCTGACTCCCCCATGCTTAAGGAGCCACCTTGCGGAGGGTTAGAGTCTGTTCTCCGAGACCGCAAAGAGGTCTTTGGGATGTCATGCCCTGTGGACTTCTGTTCAGAGAGACTAGTCCTGCTGGAACAAGGAGATGACATGTTCTCTCTGTTTTCTCCCATCTCTGAGCACAGAATTGGAAGTTGTTTCTTCCTCCTAAGTTCTCCCGGGCCCTCTAAAGGCATTCAGTGAAGTGTTCGGTAAGGCATTAGACACATTCAAAGATCAGCGAGTCCTGGGCCCTGTCCCCAAAGGAATTCGCAGCCCAGCCAAGGAGGGGAGAGAGCAAAGATGGGGCAGACTGAGCCACAGAACACAGTGACCTATACTTCCAGTGAGCAATGACAAAAGCTGGAAGGGAGATGACCTTTCTGTGCTGCTTGAGGAATGCATGAGGAGTCGAGTTTCAGCCAGGGTCTCAGTTGAGCTGGTAAGATTTTTCTCAAGCTGAGGAAGAAGGAGGTGGGAACTGCAGAAGTACGAGGGAATGGGAGTAGAAGTGGGAGGAAGTCACTCCTTCACCCTTGTCCTGGACGGAAGAGACTATTTCCTATATACTTTCAAAGGCTATAATCATCATCTTTTAGGGTTTCTACAGTAGTTTTTGAAAATTAATTGCAATACACTTTCACAGAGCCTTTGTAATAAGGAAATAGATGGGAAAGCGGAAGCCCAGAGATGCTCAAGCCATTTGACATTAAGTCAATTTGATATTAAGTGACTCTGGCCTTAATAGAGGGACACCTTGACCTTACCAAAGGAGCTCAAGGGGAGTTTGGTTCGGTCTTCAAAATGGAGAATTGCTCATTTCCTTTGACAATGTACAAGAGTTACACATTTTTTTCAAGCAATACAGTAAAATAGACCCTCATAAATTCGCTCCCCAGAGATAATTGTCATCAACAGACTTTCCTCAACTTGGGCTGAGAAGGTTGTTGACTGTATGGAGCAGAAATGGACTTTGAGTGCCTTAAGCAGAAAAGGGCCTTGTTGGAAGGGGGCCAGACAGCTCAGAGCACCAATGGGAAAGCAGTCAGGAAAACCGGCAAGAATGAAGGGGGGCGAGGCACCCAGGAACCAAGCCACGGTCAAGAACCTAGACAGCCTGGTTAGGATGCCACTTCTGCCGCCAGTGGATGTGGATGGATGGCTACCATCAATCACAGCTCCTGTGATGCCGGGGGTCACAGCCACCACCAGCAGCAGAACAAGTTCTAAAACATCCCTGCTTCTGGGATGTTTTGGAATCTTAGAACTGGATTCTAAGTCCCATTGGCCAAGCTAAGGACACACACTTCCACTCTGGCTCCCAGAAGCCTGGAGAATAGTCTGTCTGGAGACAGCCCTGCCGCCCAGACCCACACGGTTGGATGCCTCAAGAAAGAGGAGCAAATACATGGCCAATGTTTATTACGTAGGCACGCAGCTTTTCTGTATACATGGGGTTTTATTATACATGCTAATTGGTAAGTAGATTTTTTTGTTTAGGCCCGTATCTCTTTTCATGTTAATACAATAACTCATCCCTTAAATTCCTGCAGAGTATTTATCATATAGATAGACAGTATCTGTTTAATCAGTTTTCACTTAATGGGCATTTAGTGTCTATTCTTTCCTGTTATAAGTAACACAGCGAGACCATCCCGAACGTTTGCACTTGTCCCAGTCGTTCTTTAGGTCAAGTTCCAAAAGTGAAATTGCCGAGTCAAACGGCGTGTAAAATTTTATCTGTCTCCCGATATACGTAAAGGAACATTATCCATTTATACTTTTACTAAAATTAATGAGAAAATCCAAAACAGATCCTCTCTCTTTCACTGATCTGATTGTAACCACGTACCAAGTAGCTTTGAGAGTTGAACACGAAACTGGAAGTGAAACCTTCCGTGCAGAACTCCGCTGCTTCCAGCCACGTGAGGCTCCAGGTATCCCGTGGGGTGCACTCCCCAACCAGAGTCTCGTGCCTGGCGCGCTCGGGTTTTGAACCCTGGTCCCCTCACGTGCCAGTCCGCTTTCCTCTCCACTCGGCTAAACTACCCCCTTCAGAGCATGCGTTTGTAAATAAATAAATAAACAAACAAGTACGAAGCCCAGGATGCGGGCGCCGAACTTCCTGCTGGGGGGCTGGGAACTGGAAGCGGCCTCGGCCTCCAGCCGGGCCAGGCATCGCCGGCCGCGTCTACCAAGGAGCGCCCT